ATGGCTTTTATTTGTTTTTAAAATCAGTCGAGATTCGACGGTTTGAAATGCTCACAACAGCTCTAGAGCTCTTGAAATCAATTAGTGAAGATTTAGATTCGTTTCTTCTTTACTGTTTCGTTTATTTCACCTACAGTAGTTGTTTTTCTCTTGACCTCGATTTTTAACTAAGAACGTGATGAGTTTAGGGACATTATTTAATAATTCTGGTCTTGAATTCATGACGTTATTACTTATGTCAGAGGTAGTCTTTAAAGTCAGCGGAACTTTCGTCGTAAACTAGTAAACACCTTATAAATATTTATTTTTAAATCTTTATAAGTTAAAACATCCGCTATACGTATGGTAAGTGGAGCTATAAAACTAAATTTCAAAGTTTACAAGAATATCAAGAAGTTTTGCACGTTCGACATTTTGAAACATTTATTTTAATCAAATGCATAATAATATCGTAAATTCTTTGCTTTCGTTCCCATGTCGTTAGAGTTAAAATTTATAATAAACCACGGATGAAATTTACGTGTGAAAAGTAGATTATTTTTATACCATGGTTAATTTTCGTTGCAGTCTACAATAAAAATGTTTATTCTCATTCCGCGAAGTGATAAAACATGTAAACGCGGTACATTTAAATATGATACAAGTGATTATATTTCAATGTCGTGTTCTCTGAGTGACATTCGCATTTACCATTTCTTTTGCCTTTTATTCTCACACAAATATTGTGTTGCGTCTTAGGTTACTTGAGTACTTGCAGATTGATTAATTGCATTACTTTTTGCGGGCCACATGTAGTTGCGAAATTGTATGACATTTTGCTACCTCTTTAAAATGTGGTGCATAGAAGGGCCAGTCTACAATTTATTCCGGCATCAAAATAGATCAGTTTCAAACAGTGGCATGCCGCTTGCCAAAGACGAATGGACATATAGAGACTGATTACGGTTATAAATTGTATTTAAAATCGTATTTGGACTTGACAAGATTAAACGAAATATGTTGACGTCGAGTGCAGTTGCCTCGGGACTCTCATAATAACCTCTGTATTTATATGTGGTCTACATCACCTATAGGGTAGAGATTATGCATTTCATTTTTCTCTGTATCCACGTCTTAACCTTTTCATATCTATTTATCTACATACTACATAACTTGCATTTGTAACTTGCATGCATGATGGTTATAAGTGCCTACATATAGCGTAGACGAGATACAGCGGAGCGGGATCTCCTCTCCGTTGTATTTAAACTAAATTTTTCTAATGTATAGGTACATGGTAAGCAAGTAATGTATGTTAAGTATTATTTAATGGTTAAATATCTATAGGTAGTTATCAGAAAAAAAACCTTAAAATGCATCGATACATTCACCAAAGCGACTTCGGGTTTTCATTAAGCAACGCAAGTGTCCTTTCGGCATCAAAATGAATTAATAAAGTAAATATTTGGTTGAATTTGGATAGCGGCCAAATGTTGCAAGATGCATCGCCGAAGAAGTATAACAACTGTCAAACTTAAATACGAGTCCCTCCGAAAATTATCAACGCCCTCACGCCGTGACGTGGAACGTCAAGTATAATTAAATTAATCTGTGTTGTCAGTGCAAATTAATGTCGCATGGGAGTTTTAAAATATTCTTAAAAATAATATTTATTGCATACGGTTCATTTATGACGACGAGATTTAAAGCCCGAAATAACAAGTCGAAATTCCATTCGACGATGCTTTAAAATTAAAATTGAAAAAAGACATTAAACATTTGGCATTTGGACATGATTATATCCAATGTTTTGATGTGTTAAATCGACCTTTACCATATGATTTACATCTAACCGTCAAGCTTTTACCGGGGTGTTCAAGACGTTCAATATTTGGACACATGTGTTTAGCATATATTGTTAAACTTTATGCTGTAATGGAGTTTGTTATCGCTTCCGGAACGTATCAAATTGCAAGGATTTGCATTGCTTATTTTAATAAATCCATGACCTTTGAGTATCATATATTTTTTATTTGTGAGACATGTTTAAGATGATCCACGTTTGTAATGACAGCTGCTTTAAAATTGTTTGTTTGTGTTATCTCATAAATGCTAAAACTTAATTCTTGTGAACGTTTGTTTATGCTGTTGCCTTTTGGCCTAAAGGTTCCTCTTAAAAAAGTAAAGGTGAAGAGTATTCTTAGAATAGATGATAGAAGAGATTCTGTGTCCATAAAGCTTATAATGAGGTTGGCCAGTCATCGAATTTTCCGCAGATGTCCGCAATAAATGTTCTATTCAATCATAAACACAACAAAGTGAGCAACAGACATAAAATTTCAGCCCCGCTCTCAATAGCCATCAAACGGTTAGAGTTTTATTTTTAAAACAAATCGTTTATGCCTCGTGGGCTCCGACCTGGCCGGTGTTAAATATGCCAGGGCTGCGTCTATTCGGGAAAAAAAAGCAAAAATTTTCGTAAACTTCGTAATAAATACCGGAGCCCGGAATGTTTATAACAGCTTCTGTGGAACTAACTTCTATCAGATACCATTGAAAAAATAAATATGTCTCTAAAGCGATTTTGTATGCTGTTTGATAAATTACGATAAGAATATATGCAGAAAAAAAACACCTATCATTAGACAACGAAACAAGTTATCATGTCACGAAATTAAAATAAAGTAACAGCCTATATAAATGTCCCACCATATAAAGGCTTAAGAACGACGCCACTGCGGAATGTAAGACATCACGTATTTTCAAAATATTTTATTACTAATCGCGGGGAAAATTAGCACTAAAAAGGATTTAAGCGTCCGGACATACATGCATAGACTACATACTACTCGTGCAAATGTGTTTTCCAGTTGTCGTAGTCCGGAAAATTTCGATGGAAATAGTGATAACAGATGTTAATTATATGGCTGTGGTTCTCTTGGTTGTCTCGGTATCCATTAATTACGGAGCTGAAGTTGTTTTACTCTCGCGGCAACTTTTAAATCACGGAAAATAATTTGAAAAGATTTTTTTTCTATTATTAAATTTTAATATGGCCTATAGTGACATGATAAGATTTTATAGTTTTATAAAGTCAGCATGCGTATGTATGTATTCGCAATACTAGAAAAGTAGACAGTTGTTTGATTTTAAATCGTGACACAAAATTTCGTTCTAAAATTACTACAGTTGATAGACGACTGTTTTCATGACCTATTGAACATTTTACGAATTTAAAATGGCGAAAACTGGTTTTTTTGCTCAATTTGTTTATCTGGGTTGTTTTCTTTTTATTTCATACGAATTTATGTTTACGAATACGAATTTTATCCCATCTGCTTTACTTTGGAAATTATTTAATTATGTGTTTTTGAAAAATCAAAATGTGAATGATATATTATGAGTTTGGCTGTTGCGGAAATTTATTTTTTTTTGTTTTCATACTTGATCATTTCTTGCCTCCAGCTTTAGAACGAGCTTTAGTTTCCATTTCATTGAATACGCACAACAATGCCATGTGAGGTATTAAATTGAATAACGTGTTTTATCGGCGAATTTTTGTTCTCTTTAATAGTTATTTTAGCCTTTACGTCGATTTTTTATCAAACAAAAAAACAAGCATGGTCTGATTTTAGTAAGTTATATAACTTGACGTTACGACCTTAGCAGAGGGAAGCAATAGCTATAAACATCTAGTGTTTTATAATTACATATAATTACCATTATTAAATTACTTATGTTTAAAAATCGCACCAATATTATTTCATAGTGGTAGGTCTAAAACACTAATAAGCTGGCAACCCTATTCGTATTGCGTTTTTTGTTTCACTCATATGGAATTTAAATCTAGAGAGAGTGAGAAAGCGCCATCGCTTATCTTGCATTTGGAGCGGGCTACGCATTTTAATTTTGCGCACCAGTAATTTTTCAAGGACTAATATAATGGACGTTCTCAAAGTATAAATTTAAAATTCGAAATGTCTAATATTTCTCTCAATCAACTCCCACAATCTGATTAATTCATGCAATTGGGAGCATTGTATTGATTTTTTTTTAAATGACACATGCACTGAATATTTTTTTTAAATGGGCCCTTCATCACGTACCTGGAGGCACGTACCTAATTTTACATATGAATGCTGCAAACTTGTATAGAACGTTGATCAGTTTTTTGTATAGGGGGAGAAACATTCGAAGTAGTGCCGCCTAGATGAAGAATAAGTCATTTTGGGTTCTTATCCACGGAAATTCCGCAGCGCTTGCAATAAGTGCGTCGAGGGGTTCAGAAGGTTCAACAACACGAACTGGAATCTGGAATGCCCCTAAGCACTAAGCATAAGAACAGGCCAAAGGCTAAAGTCTTCCCAACTCCCTCAATGCTTTTTGTGTTGCTGTGCTCACCTGGTTTACTGCAGTAGAGGATCAGAATCCCATCCAAGTCGCCCTCGAAATAAGTCTAAGAATGGGGAATTCTAGTTCTTTATTATGGAAATACTATGCCATTCCCTATTTTTTGTAGTACCAAAAGGTCGGTCAAAATAAGTAACGATATAAATATTCAAAACGATGAGGCTTTATCCTGTATAAGACATGGTTCATTTATAAAATTACACTAGCCTCTTAATCCCCTTGTTTATTATTCAAATCCGTTCTTTAAGAGCTTTCTCGTGGAGCGTACAATTCGTTTGTAGCTTTGGAGCGGTGCGTGACTGCGAATAAAGGGCGCGGATGCCGTGATTTATGTAAAGTGAACTTGCTCGACCTAAACAGCATTTAGAGAGTAGACTTTTCCCATCAGTGCCGAGACAAGAAAACAAACAGTTGTTTGTTGTTCGTACTTAGGATTTGTTGTTTTCGAAAGCGAACTTCACCCTTTCTGTATACAGACTTCGTGACGTAGATATTATGTTGTCTATACATCAGTAAATTGCTAATAATTTAGAAAGAATCCGCGAAAACCAAACTAAATAACTAGCATAACCTATACAAACCTATAATTCTTTTTATATATTTTTGTACAGATATACGCTGATGAGGACCAAGACGGTAACCTGGTTGAGGATATAACCGTCGCAGCGGACAGAAGTATTGTCGATGATGCCAAGGGCACAGGCAAGGACAAGCCGAGCTACCCATCTCTGAACAAGCTTCATGGTCTCACCGTGCTTGAGGATGACGCCCAGATGGCGGACGACGAAGACATGTACGAGGGGGACGAAGACGCCGAAAGCGGTGACTGGTATCCTGATTACTACAAGCAAGGGCCAAAGGTTAATATAATTTTGAACAAGTATTTGTGACGGTAAACGCACTCGACTCTTATTAATGGATCGTTCACTGTTGGCCTTTAGGAGGCATTAACAGATCCACCACGCTTGAGGTGGCTGGGTCACTCATAAACGAGGTCTATGAGTGACTCGAGGGCTCGGGAGTCACTCACGCACTCGAACTGCAAACGTTTATAGTAACAGTGGAACTCAATTTCACAATATTTGCACATTGCAGGGCAGTTCTCGGGATTCGAATATACCGAGTAAGACACGGTTATCGAGAGTAGGTGTTTAGTTTCATTACTAAGTTTCCAAGAGACAAGGCACTTACTGCGATTCGAGATTTAGCAAGCCTACGGTCGAAGTAGCAATAGTGTAAATTAAAGTATAAACACCATAAGATGAATAAAAAGGCACTCGACTCGTAAAAATAAATCCTAAATTGTGGTTTCTCATTCAATTTCACTCATAAAAGTAAAGAAGTCTTTAACCCTATTTGCTTTACGTTTACCAAGTTGGCTTAGTAACAAAATGGGCTTAACATTTATCTGATCTTACCGCATCGCCCTTAAAGACGATTACGAGGGTCGGAGTCGTGCTAATCTCGCTACGATTTGAATTCTAATTAGTGACATTACGAGTTCAAATAAGCGGTTGAATATTTAAGGATTTCCAGTAATTGGCCTGAGCTCGCTTTTGAACTAAAATGGGTTCGTGGAGCATCATTGTCTTTATTGCTCTTACAAATTAGTTTTAAAACATCGAATCTGAAAATAGAATATATAGGACACCTGGTCTCTGTTTGCGGCTATTTAATACCGCCTCATAGATTGGATTGCGGGATGACGCAATTGCGGTTTGACTATTGCGTATGCAGCAGAGCTGATTCGAGTGTTATATTTAAATTATTATACGGACTAAGCGTAAAATTCTTGTACCTACGTATGTAGGTTATAAAGAATGTATAGATTAATATAATTAATTGATCCCTACGGTTACGGATTATAGTTATCGATGCGAGAGTTTTTAGGAAATAACTGCTATTACGATTTTTGAAGGAAATGGGGATAGGTAAGTACTCTTACTATTCCGTAAAAGAACAATTTTATTTTGAACCGTGTGGAAGAACACCGGTGTGTAAAAACAAGAAACTGTCTTTCTAAGTTTTCATGAAATATCAATGATTTAATTAACGTTACTCGACAAACGGATCCCTCGAAAACTGCCTTGTAACTTTATTATAATGTAAATAATTAATGCTAGTATAATTTATATTCTACTCCAGTAAGCTGGGAAGAATTGTTAATGTTATAATATATTTCTCAAAATATAGTGAAATGGGGAAGAAAGGTTCTCGAGTGACAGCGTCGAACTGGCCATTGTAGTGGGACGATCCCCCAGACGTGTGACGACCTGTGCAAATGTGCGGGAAGTCGATGGATGCAGGTGGCTCAGGATCGTGCTTCGTGGCAGTCTGTGGCGGAGGCCTATGTTCAGCAGTAGGCTCAAACGGGCTGAAATGATGATGATGATTTTGTAATTATTCATGTCAAGGCAGTGTATGTACATATGTATGTGCTTTCCTTATATAGTAATGGGGATGGACTGCGATAGCGTTCCTTACGAAGATCCCGTGATCATTTAGGTTTGATAGTAAGCTCCGTGGGATATTAGTTGTTAGGGGTCCCACCAAAACCTAACGTGTAACCACAATGTTTTGTATGTATTTCTCAATAGATTTTGAACCCTGATGCTTGTCACCATTATTATCGTTATAGACATTTCTTAGCATAGCCTTTTGAGACTTTTGAAACATGAACAATTTGTGTAATCGTGTTATTACGAGAAAATACTATTTTTAAATTGAAATACAATTTAAAACACAATGAATTGCAAAATAACTGTTGATGTGCGTTAATTTTTATAAATTTGGTTTTATTATATAGTTCATTAATACCGACCAAAAATTATATTAACTTCCCAAAGCGTAGATTGCGACCATTTTTGGTTAAGTATGACATATAGATATTCAGTTGCTGCACATAACGATACCTTTGCATTTACTTTTAATTACATAAAAGCTGTTAAAAGTTGGTAAAAAGAGAAGCTTCATTCTCCTCGTCGTGTTCATTTTCCATCTATTTCATAATATAAAACGTGTTACAAATATAAATATGTCTGACGCGTGCCATTTCGTTGATGAGATGAGTTTACTCCTACTCTGTGCCGGTTTTTTAAATGTTCTTTTTATATGTAAAATTAAATGAGTGAGGATAGACTTTTAGCATTCCAGTGTAATATATAGACTATGTTTAATTTACATATATTTTTTTGATAAAATATTACTAAATTTATTTGTAAGCGTTACTTTCGTAACGGGTTCTTCATTAAGGATGGCCAAGGAACTTTCAAAAGGGATTTTAAGGTCACCATCATATGTAAACATATGAACAATAGTATAAAAGTACAGGGCATTGAGTTGGGTAGAGTGGGGCCAGTAGGTCGAATTTCGAATTATGTTATCAAAACTTATGTTGTAGTAATAAGTTAACATTAAGATTTCTGTATAATGGAAATCGAAAAATTTATCTATCTATTTATATTTTGAGAAAATCAAGTCCCCGAACACGTAGATAGTCCTCTTATCTACGTCGTATCCATATCGAAAACTAAACAAATTAAAACTGCCATCGAACACGATTCTATTGTTTCTAAAGAAATTTTATGCGAGGTACAAGTATATGTGACTCATACATATATTCTTATAGATCGGCACCACGAATATGGTGCACTTGAGGCCCGAAGACTTTACCGACACGGTGGTGCCAATAGACAAGGAGAAGCAGATCCCCATACCGAATATCAAGGAGATCAAGAAACTGCTCAACGAGAACCCAGAGATATCCGACATCGGTGAGCAGACGTCAAAGCATGAGATACCTTACTAGAGATGCCCCGAATAGTAGTTTGGCCGAATGCCGAATATTCGGTCACGTTCTCATCTCATCCGAATATTCGGCCAAAAAATGTAAAAAATTATCTAGTCTCCTAGTTGTAGCGTATAAAGTGAAATCAACAGGTGAGTACAACAAAGGCAAATGAAATGGTTTTGTACCAGCAAATCCTAAGAAACATTTGTTAATTTAAATTTTAATTTTAACCTATTCATCACAACATAACATGGCACGTCTTCGTGGCATCTCTATTCTATTCTTTCTTGTAATAGTATATTAATGTACGTAGTTTCTTTTTATTTGACAAAGGGGCAAACGAGTTGGCGGTTCACCTGATGTTAAGTAATAAGATGATAACCACCGCCAATGAACATTTGCAACACCCGTAGGGTTGCAGAAGCGTTACCATCTTTAAAAAAAAGTGGGCCACCGCACTCACCAGACGAAACTCAGAAGTGTAATTCTTCTACTTTACGCCTCTCTTCTGTGAGGTCGTGGTACTTACCCAGACGGACCTGCCCATTCGTGCAACAGTGAACAGCATTGCGTGGCCCTCACAGTTACCCCTACGAGAGCCCATCATAGCGGTCGTTTAGAGCTTCATCTTTGTTTAAGAAGCATTGCAAGGTAATCAGAATTATACGCCATGATACAATACGTATATTGGTCTAAATATTATGGATTATAGATTACCACGGTGATAAATATGAGAAAAACTGTTTTCAAACTGTTTTAACAGTTTTATTTATAAAAAAAAATATTCACAATAGCGACAAATAATAACTTAATACAATACATTATCTAAACTTAGCCAAAGCGAATGAAATGGCTCATCATCATCATCAGCGAATGAAACGGCTTTAGTCTGAGCTTGTACTAGGGCGACTGTTGCGTAGAAATATATATTTGACCTAAACGATCGTTCCTTGAACAAGCCAATTTCTAACGCAGATATACCAACGATGCCCGTGCCAACGAAGGCCCGCGACGAAGAGCGGTCGCGGGTGAAGCGCAGCGTGTTCCCCGACACGCCGCTGGAGGCGGTCGGCGAGCTAGCCGTCTCCAAGGCGCTGTCCAAAGCGGAAGACAGGTAACAGATCACAGCATAAACTAGATACACCTTAGCCCAGATGGATCTCCTTCTGCTTGCTGTACGCAGAAAGGACAGGTAACGAATTGTAGTAGATTATTAGTCTAAACTTGCTGAACAGAGTATTTTTTTTAAAAGGCCGGCAACGCATTTGCAAGCTCTTCGGTGTTGCAGACGCTCGTGGGCGGCGGTGATCACTTACCAACAGAGTTTGCCCTCATTTTTCCATTAAAAAATGAAGAAGCGTTGTCGTGTAACGCGTGTTATCGCGAGTGCAAAATTCGCACTGTCGGCAATATGTTTGATCTGCGTATAATTCTTTGATCTTAGATGTTTTGTTTTGTTTTATTACATAGTATCTAATGCTTGGCCACTATCCGGTCAGCGCATTGTGTGTATAAATAACAATAGGAGACCAAGATAATTTACTAGGATTGTGTTATCTCAAATTTTTGGAAAGGGTGTTTAATTTTTCGTTTATGAGTAAATGAGTGACTCCCGTTGTTAAAGCGAATTTCATTAAACATTATCTAACTACGTCGGAAAATAATCGGTGATATTTTTGTATTTATTATATCTTTTTTTATATGAGAAGGTAGCAAGCGAGATTTATCTTATTATTATTTACAGAAATATATAAAATTGAGTTGATTATATTGATTATATTGATTATATTAAATTGATTGTAGTTTACGTACCAGCACTTTCTCCTTAACATGACTTAATCCACAAAACGCATTTAAAAGCTCACTTAAGCCTAAACGTTTTTTTATAAATGCACACTTCACACAAGGAGTGCAAAAAGACAATAACGACTGCATAACAGCCGTCAATTGACTTTAATGAGGGTATAAACACGAAAAAAGGTAATTCAAGGGTACAAATACAGATTATAAGGGGTTAAGGCGGACATGGCTTAAAGTAATAACAGTGGTTATTGCCTTGCTATGCAACGAGTGCAGTTGAGTTCCGATTAAAACTTAAATGTAGGGTTGTTTTCTTTTTATCTCAATGGTAACAAAGCCATTAAATTCAAGTCGATTTATTATGGCTTACACAATTTATAGATTGACTGTTTAAGTCGACAATTTGTATTGAAACAGCCACTTCGTTATGTATGCTACGACCAACAGATAATTGATTTATAAAAATTATAAGAGCCTTAGCTCAAGACTTTTGCCACGTGGCAAAGTAATTGATATTGATTTTGCTTTTTCGGATAATATATCACTGCAATACATCGTTTCCAGTTTCCAACGAAGAAACCTTTGAGTGTTTTGTTTTACCTGCCACAGTTTGCAATTTTATAAAATTCTTTTTAAATTAACCAATAGTATAAAATGTATTTTCCGTTGGCCGGGCAATTTTCGACCAGCCATTAATAAAGTACTCAGTTTCGAAAGCTTTTCTTTTATCTGAAGTTAATGGTTGTAATAAATAATCCTTTGCCATTCAGCAATTTGGCACGTAGCTCAGATGTTCGTGGGCCCAAAACAAAAACCTCCAAATATCACGTGCCTAGCTAAATCCGTACCGGCGCAGTGCGGACACTAATAGAACTAGACGATGGTGTCTCGACCATAGCGACATCTCCTGGTGTCTATTCAGTACTAGCACACAACATTAATTAAGAGAATCTTTTAGAGGACGAACTGATTAAGGCACGCTTGTGTATAGTAAATATGCTTAAAATGTACTACAGTTACTGCTAGTGTGCAGTTAATACTATAGTGTGTATCAGTCCTTAAAAAAGGAATGTGGACACGAGTGTCAAGTTTCCACATGTCAGCAAGTTTCTTTATCATGCTTGCACGAGGATCATACTACGATAATACGATGATATGACTGCGATAATGTGACTATGGAGTGTATTTCAGTCGTAAAGGATAATTATCATGTTTGCACATACATAGAGAATTGAAAAAAAAAAAAAAAACCAGCCAAGTGCGAGTCGAACTCGTGCACGAAGCGGCAACAAAATCATGGTAGCCCTACTTAAATATCATTTTATTCTGTTTTTTAGTATTTGTTGTTATAGCGGCAACAGAAATACGTCTTTCGCGAAAATTTCAACTATCTAAATATCACGGTATATGAGATACTACAGCCTGGTGACAAACGGACAGACAGACAGACGGATAGCGGAGTCTTGGTAGTAAGGTTTTACCCTTTGGGTACGGAACCCTAAAAACTAATATCTCAATATAATTTACTAATTAGAAAATATATTTTTTTAATATAATCAAAGACCAAATAAAAGGGAAACATATGCAGCCCGTTTCTTAATATTTTATGAGACACCGAATTGGTAAAAATTCTACGGGAAGTATTTAAAAAAGTTATCGATTTGACAGACCCGTTGTTTCGCATTTACAACATAATACATGGCATTCTCTCAACTGCAGTGATTTCTCCGTGACCTTGCCGTAGCGGTAAACGTCACCGATCTTGATTTTATATGTCGGAGGAGAGAGACACTGAGAAACTAATGGCTTTTATTGAGCTACCAATTAGCATTACATATTTTTGGAAGCCCTGAGCGGCAGGTGAGATTCATTGGTACAGAAAAGTGCTTCGTGTACACCGACGATTGTATTATTGACTTTATTTTCTTTTTCGTAAAATTAAGTCTACGTATTTTTTTCATTTCATCTAAAAAATATACGACAAATCATCATTCCTTCAAAAAAAAAAATACGAAGGGCTGGGTTTCAGAACGGTGAGGTAAAAAAGAAAATTTGAAGACGATACCTCCTATTTTGTATCTTGATGTACAAGAAATGAGTTAACTGACTTGTTATGGTTTACGATGTGTGTGCGCTTTGATTCCATGGACTATACACAGTTTCGCTGGGCACAGTGCTTGTCGTATGACTAAGTGTCCACAATCAAAATAGACCCTACCTAAGCAAAGTCAAACACAAATTGTAGCGATAAATATTACTAAGCTTTTTAGGGTTCCGTACCCAAAGGGTAAAACGGGACCCTATATCTAAGACACCGCTGTCTGTCTGTCTGTTCGTCTGTCACCAGGCTGTACTAGGCTCTCATACAACAGACACGATGCTTTTTTGCCGTTTTCATAGACAATGGTAAAAACTCTTCGTGCGCGAATCCGACTCGCACTTGGCCGGTTTTTTATTACCAACTAGATTACACGCATTTCCTATCCCCAACATTCACATAAAATTTATTTATGATCTTAGTTAGAACGTTTGTCATGCTAAATTGCTGGATTATACCTACTACTTCCGGTGAGAAATAGCTAAGTGACTAAGTTTTACGTAGTTAAAAGCTGTAATATATTGATTTTACAACGAAGCACCTCACGGCAATTTGCGGGAGGTGTGAGTTGGTAGACGTCGTCACGTAAGGAAAAAGCGTTTCGCCCACTCCATTTGACTCTCAGCATCTCATTCAGATACGATATAGATATATACAAGTTAGATATCTAACACACGCTATCTAACTGAGCTATGAGGGAATTTTAAAAATCTAGGTCTTAACCTATATTCTTAATTTAAAAACAACGTTTATACCGTACCATTTTATGTTGTATAATTCTTGGTAAAGCAAGCGGCAAAGCTTTTTTAATGAACTCGGCCTATTGCCCAAGAGACTGCCTTTTTTTTAAATTAATGAGGGCTGTTTCTTTAATGTAATAATATACTTTACTATCAACCGCTTTTAGGGAATTGGCAAATATAAAAGTTTGTTTAAGTAGTAAGTAGGTAACTTGTCGACCAATATTAATTTCTCGCTTTGTTTTGCAATAAAATTTTCACGTTTCTGTCCACAAAATATTGCCCAGTTGCCCTTGTTGTAAAACCGTTTTTCATCAATAAATTGAAAAGGGAGAAACGTATTGATTTCTTCGTTACACAAGTGAAATTATTTAAAAAAATCATTATTACAGGCGCAAAACCAAAAAATTCCACTCGAGCACTGATCCATCGACAGCTGCGAAGATGACACTGCATACCGTCACAAGAACCGCCAGGAATAGCGATGACGAGGTAAATAACTAGTTTATAAAAACAACTATTTACTAACTTACAAAACTGGAAGCATTATAAACAAATAGTGTAAGAGATTAAATTATTATTATTTCTTTATGTCACAAATTGCCAAAAGAGCAGGTGGTTCACCTGATGTTGAATACCGCTGCCCATGGACATCTGCTCCACACGAGGGTTGCAGATGCGTTAACAACCTTTTGAAAATTGGGCTCCAGCCACCTCACTCACCAGACGAAACGTAAAAGTATTGTACTTCCACTTTACGCCGGTCTTCTGTGAGGTCGTAGTACTTACCCAGTCGAGCCTGCCCATTCGTGCAACAGCCGAGGCTGCTGCGTGGCCCTACCACAGTGAAAGTGATTGTAAAAGAATGCAAACAATAATGGTATCTATAATGTACCTAAGTAATTTCTATCCAATCTGACACGAAGTCAGCAAAATATCTAAGTAAGAATACTTATTTCCAGTGACCTGCGACCAAACAGGGACTTTGTCCCAGGGAAAATCATCATCATCATTAACTTAAAAACGTAAAAACATAAATTAAAAAAAAAAAAATCTTTACACGTAACTTGTAAATCTCTAAATCGTATTTGCTTATTACTTGTCTTGTTGTAGCAAATATTTCGTACGTAAAAAAATTAAAGAATCGGTTTAGCAAATGCATCAACAATAAACATCCATTAAAATTAGAGATTAAAATGTTAGAGGAAATATGTCCTTATCCAATGATTACTTTTCTGTCGATAAAACAATCCAGTACTTAAAAACATGAGTCTCTATAGTTATATAGTCTTCAAATACATATGTATATAGCGTAATAATACCCAAAACATGTATTTATTATCAGAAAAATAGGATGTGTTGTATCAAAGACTATAAAATAATATCTCCAATAGTACTGGATAACATAATGAAAGTGAATAGAAAGCGAGCAGCATCTGTGCCAACCCGTTAGAATCGAGTCAAGTCTATAATTTATTCTGTAATATATTCCCTTTTACAATCGCACTAATTTGGGGTGTTGCAGAAATTTAAGGTAATAATTCTCTATTTATAACGTCGACTTATACGAGATAATTGGAGTGTTGGCGCTAGGTGTAAAGTGGTAGGGCCATTTCTCAGCTCCTGCTGTTGCATGGATTGGCAGACTCGTCCCTACGTGCCACGAGAAGACGGGCGTGAAGTGCAAGTATTTTATTATTTTTTCAAGGTTGTTAACGTATCTATAACTCCTAAGGTGTTGCCGGTGTCATTAATCATTTAACATAGTGTGAACCACTTGTTCGTTTGCCAACGTTCCACATAAAGATATAGGTAATCCGTTGAAACCTGCTGCAGTTTGACATTAAAAGATTCGTAAAGAACAATTCGTGCAATTTTATTATTCGTACATATAATCGCAAAGCGAAAATATTTGCAGCTTATAGCCAGCGGCGGCAAGTTTTCTCACCCCTACTCAGAACTTGAATGAGATCTATATTAATGCGTGTTTCATTTGTTTTAAATTCTTTTGCTTTATGAGTACCCATTTTCTTTTAACAAAAGCATTTGTCCGCTTCAGGCAAACCCGCAGCGGAGGCCCTTCATTGCTGCACATTTTCATGGCAACACGTCGCATTTGAACACCGTGAGCCACGGCTTCTTCAAGGGTGAGATTTATAAAAAAAGAATTATCAAAGTCTGTTCACTCAGTTAGTAGTTCCGAGGTAAAAAAATACAGTCGAATTGAGAACCTCCTTTTTTGAAGTCGATTGAAAAGTTATGAACTTTCTTGAATAATAGGACTGTTTATCTTCTACATATATTTTAGAGATTTTCTAGCGGTAGGCTAGATTAATTTTAATGATGCATATATTATCTTTGCCTTTTTAATTACTATAATTATTTAATTTCAATATGGTGTACGCGAAATATTAGACGCGAAAAATTTAGGAATAAAAAGTTGTGTTTCTGAAATAGTATACAATGCAGTTCGATTTTTTGTATCATTAAATAGTTTATTCATGTTTTCTATAAAAAAAAAACTATTATTATTATTATTCCATAATCACAAAGTGACCGCTGCACACGTTTAGCGCTTTACGAAAAGCTTTTACGAGTGGCTGCATTAACTGTGTTAGGGCAATGCAGCAGCTTACTGATTCGTGAATAGGCAGGATCATCCGGAAGATAAATATTTTCGAAATAATAACAAATAAAAATATTTCGAAGGTGTGCAAAGTCCGCCAATCCGTAGTGGGCCGCGCGGCGGACTAGGCCATGATGCCCTCTGTACAGAGGATTTTGCCCAGCAGTGGGACATGTATAGAATACTTGACCGCAGGTACTCTGTGCGGGGGAGGCCTTTGCCCAGCAGTGGGACATGTATAGGGTACTTGACCGCAGGTAACGGGCTGGTGCGCGTGGCCCACGACGCGCCCCACGACGTGTGGTACCCGGCGCCATGGACCCTCGCCTCGCCCCACCCCAGGCCGACCCTCACTCGTACCGGCCACGTCCACGTCCACCACACCGGCGTCTACCTCGTCTACGTGCAGGTAAATCTTATTTATTCATTTGGCGCGGTCACAAAATGCAAATTACAACATGGCTAAATTATTACAGACTGTATTACTAAAGTTGCATTTCAATAATAACCGAGCACAACAATACAATTTGAATATGTTATTTTAATGATGTATGTAATAAATTATAGTTACTTATTTACTTATAACAAAGAAGCAGACCAATATTTTCAGAGGACTTAATAGTTTTTAAAAATAATGACCAGTTTTGATGAAATATATTTGTCTCTTTGCAATTATTTTATAATAGCATTCAATACGTTATTTGATAATAGCATTTATTTTTTTTGTATTTGGATCGCTCTAAGCTTTTGCGAACGACGAAACCTAACGACTTTTCTTAAGCCTGTCTTATCTCAGACACTCGTAATCTTGGTAATAAATGCGTCTACATTCCTAAAACCGCCTCGCGGTACGGTTTATAAACCCTGCGCTGTCACGGTATAGTTTTTCGTTATGTCATTTTGGAGCGATAATAATGTTTATTTACGTTCACTGGTCGGAACCAATGATCTTTAATAATATAGTTGACGCATATAGATGACGGATACTGCGTGGCCTTTAAAAATCGTTCCGCTTGTTATATGACATACATAAGTGACAGATGGTATAGAACGTATTATATATAAAGAGATAGCATTGAAATCTACTTACACCAATTGGTGTAATTTGAGTGCCTTAGCTTCGATGCGCTATCTAGTTTTATATCTTTGTATATAATATCACTGAATTTAGCAATGTTTTCTTTCTATTAAGCCTCGTATTTGTGTATAATATTTTTGGTCGGTACGTTCACGTCTTCCCAGTGTCTGTTTGCAAACCACAATATACAGTTTTCTTATCGTTGAACGAACAACTAATTATCGAAATTTTACACAAAGGATCGTTTAGTTCTATTTTCATCATTATTTCAGCATATTCGATTCCATCGCTGACATAGATCAGCCCCACAGACCGCGAAGCTACGATCGTATATTTTCATATTTAGTTTTAATGTGTAGGTACATGCTGGGTTTAATATTTTATCAAGGGAAATTTGTATTTACAAATGCAAATAACTTTATTTCCAACAAATTTCTAAATTATATGCCTTATGAACTGACCCCTACACTAGGCTGTTGCCTGTCCTATGGGGGATAAATAACGAATCTACAGTTTGATTTCCTTCCGCAGATTTACTACCTGGACAGCCACGACGTGATATCGTGGGTGTTGCACCGGACGAATGCCGATATTGAGGGTCGGGAGACGTTGCTGCAGTGTGCGCAGTCGTCGCACTCAGCTGAACCACTAGAGAAGCCCAACTCTTGCTTTTCTGCGGCCGCCCTCTTCCTGCGCGCCGGCGACAGGCTCGCCGTCAGGAACACCGGCGGTGACAGACACTCGCTTATGCAGCCCGAGAAGAGCTTCATAGGTCTTGTTAAACTGGCCGACGCCGAAGAGCCAAACCAAGAGCTCTAGTTCCGTTGTTATTATGTTACAAATATTCCGTATTCGTACATTTGTCGAAATTTCTTGCCTGATGGTTTTCGTTGTACGTTCGTTGTGACTCTATACGCGTTAGTCAGAAAGTGCCATTATTGCGAGCTCGTCGCGCGTCTAAAAGTGTTGTTAGGTTTGAAATTATTTTTATTATGAAGTAGGCTTAACGCATACGTTACCTTATAAGGCAATTCGGCTTTTATGATATCTATAATAATAATCGGTTTGAGTTGGCACTTATTTGGAGATCTTTAAAGAAATCACTGAAACCATTTTTGAAATGCATCAAACAAATATATACTTATTATATTTTATGTACATACATTAATCGCTCGATTAATAGAGCACCTGGGCTAACGATTTTCACGTCGAACTGGTAGATTGTTTTAAGTTAGAGATAGATGTCACTATAATTACTAAAAAGTAGAATTTAGTCTAAATTAGTCAAAAGTCTAACTATGAAACCTTTGGGTTATTAAATTGTTCTAACAGTCTGTGTTATAGATGTATTATGTATTTCAGCTAAATTTTAGTATTCTATTCAAAGTATCAAATTCTAAACGTAGAACGGTTTTTCTAATTATATAAAGAAATCTCTCATACGTAACTTAGTATGTAGTTGCTCGAATTTATACGGCGATGTATTAACCATGTGATACATTGATTGAATATGTTATACCATTGATATTATTAAGTATAATGTTACAGTTATTAATAATGTAATTTATTCATGCGTGTTGTAATATGCATGCCACATGTGTGTGTATTACAGAAGACGATTAGTCTTATCATTTTTTTTTAAATCTGCAATCGGGTATTGTAATTTTTTGTACGTATTCTGATTAAAAAATACAAAATATTATTGTTATTTTAATTTTAACCAACTGCGTTTGTTTTTCATTTGATATATTCATATTCATGGACACATTTGCCACACCCGTAGGGTTACATTTACGTTGCCACCTTTTAATAAAGTGGGCCACGGTTACCTCACTCACCAGACGCAGAAATGTAACACTTCCACTACACGCCGGTCTTCTGTGACGTCGTGGTACTTACCCGGACGGACCTGCCCGACAAGCGGCTGCGTGGCCCTACCACAGAAAAATGTTACTCTTAAAAGAAATTTGGCAGCTTCTTTTAGCGGACTTCACATATAAACGCGAAATAAATTTTATTATTTTGCAGTATGCAAGGTTTTTAAATAATTTGGTGTTAGCTCAAGAATTGATACCCAAAAAGAAGTCAAGATATAAAATATTGTCGTAAAATGAAATGCGCATCCCGAAGTCAAATACATTTTTCGGATTTAGAATTTCAGCAAAGAAGATGAAGATTGCAAAAGACGGAGAAATTTGCTTCGAAGTAAAAATGTGTAACAAATATTTCTCCTTAATACAAAAATACACACAAATACAATACATGTCCCAATGTTACTCAATCAATATCCAGCTCACATGATTGATACTTGCGCCACAGATAATAAATTTGCTAGGCTGTCATGAATTAACAAACGTTTCATTGTTTTTATATAAGAATGGTTTAAAACCATTTAATGAGATGGAATTTGTAGTTCATTTCAGTCTTAAAAAAATTATACCGACTTTATCACTTTAGGCGTGAAAAGCGACCGACATAAAAACCGACGTACAGTATTAGAAATGAGTGCCAAGTTATTAGAATTTCTTATCTATGCCCGAAGAGCTCAGTTATTCGACCTATGGTAATGCGAAAGACGCTGCCTCATTTCCATATTTATATCGAAATGGAACAGGACTGACGACTCATATTAGCATTTTAGATTTCTCATTACAAGCGGCAAGCTATGGCACAAAGCAATTCTCCTGTACATAACAAAATCAACTATAACAACTCTGAATGTCTTGCTAGTTGGATAATAGTTAGGCAGGGGTTGTCTGTACTAATTTTTTATTTATATCTACTCGTATCGATGTATGTATTTAGGCTTCTGTACACAAAGGGTAAAACGGGACCCTGTTACTAAGACTTCGCTCTTTGTCTGTCCGTCTGTCACCAGGCTGTATCTCATGAGCCGTGATAGTTAGCCAGACATGATGTACTTCTGTTGCAACTATAAAAACAAATACTAAAAAACAGAATCAAAAATATTTAACGGCAGCATACACCAGACATGAGTTGTTGCCGTTTTATAGATATTGGTACGGAACCCTTCGTACGCGAGTCCGACTCGCACTTGGTGGGTTTTTACATTTCATTCCTGCTCTATTTATAACCGAACTCAAAAAATATCAAAAACCTCATTGTTTGTTCATACTAATTGGTTTAATATTAACCTAAACTGCATTTTTATTTTGTTACATTAACATTTGTTTTTTATTAGAATAGATCCTTTGTAAATTTACGGCAGAGATTTTTGTGATCTTACATTTTCCCTTTTATAACGGTGATAGCAATAAAAATTATACATATGTGATAGAGGTCCATAAATATATTCAATTAAAAAAATATTGTTTAATTAATTTCGATAAGTTCAAATGTATACGTAACTATTTTGTTTACGATTCGCGTGTCATTTTGTTTCCTTTAAGTTGATTAAAACAAAACTTTATAACATGCATATATTAAGAGCTCCGTAATCTTATATTCCGTTACGGCCAACCTCGTTTTTAATAAAAGTAAGTGGTCCCATCCAATCTCGAAAAGTCCCTGGGCCTTAGTTGATACTTTTCTTTTATTTACAAAAAGCTTTCATATGTTTAATGTATATATATAATGTAAGGGTAAAATATTTACTTTAACGTTTATCATCAGATGCGATAGTAATAATAATAATAGGAGTCCAGCTTCATTGAATTATTATATCCATCCATTTTAAATTAGTCAATATTGGTTATTGTAGATAGTCATTGTCTGAAATTTCATTTGAGAAAGTGTGTTTATTGTAAATGTAGCATTTGACGACGCCAATTGCTAAAAATGAAATAGACGAGAATTTCAGATTTTCAGTAGATATTGGCCGCTTGGCTTAGTATCTTGTCCTATGTAAAAAGGGAAGACATGTGGCTACCCTGTTGTGGATATGATGCTAAGTTACAGGATAATTTAAATGCGATGAATCCATAACTTAGTTTTGAACAACGGGTTTAAGTTTCCAAAAATGTAAAATTTAAACTAACGCTCGATTTCTGAAACACTGATCAGCGTAGAAGTTAACTAATCAGCTGTCAAATGGCTTTTCAAATGTCAAATGACATCTACAACACGTGACAAGGTGCAATGAAAAGGTGGGCCCCGCGTTTACCTCACTCGCTAGATAAAACGCGAAACAGTAACAATTTCTCTTCACTTTGGTCTTCCTTGAGGCCATTGTACTTACGCGGACAAGTTTTCCCGTTCAGGATAACAGTGTCTGTTTTTTCTCATGTTTGTAAAACTTCCCGCTGCACATGAGCAACATTTTGGAGAGGAAATATTTTTCTTTAAAAAAACATCGAACAACAAAACGAAATAAGAAGAAAGCATCCCTCGATATTCTTAAGGATACATAATTTTATAAGAGATTATAGAGTAAGCCTCCTTTTCTATGAAATAAATCCAAACAGACTCATCGTATATCGACGAAAATTACGTAACCCGAAATGTCTGCGTCGCTTATAGGGGCTCGACTAACAAGATTGATTATTGCTTTCGGGTTGCCGAAGCGATCCGTCTGGCGGAAAGCTGTCATAGTAACGAGAACATAACGTGGCGTATACGTGATGAAAGAGCCCGTTCGTAATTCGAGCTTTCGTTTGGATATTTCTATACAATACCTACACCTGTCGGTAAAAGTGTTTATAACTTTATAAGTAAGTAAAGTAACAGCCTATACTATATACTTCTGCTGGGCAAAGGCCTCTTCTGTGCAGAGGGTATTGGCGGACTTCACATATCTTTGAAAAAAAAAATTTTTTTTGTTATTATCTCGAAAATTTGCAGGTTTCCTCACGATGTTTTCATTCACCGCTGAGGAAGTGATATGTCAGCACTTGAAATTAACATTTACATTGGTGCCGACACCGGGGATCGAACTCAGGTAGCTCTAGTATATAAAATTAAAGGCGAGCGCTCGGGCACTGAGCTACTCGTATCACAGCGATTATGGAAAAGTGTTTAAATACTGGCAATTAAATTAAGTAAGACAGTTAAAAAAAGGGTTACTGGCGGCCGCACTGAAGCAGCGGTTAGGTAGTAGCTTTAAAATAATTTAAATCTAAAATTATAAATATTTTTGTCGACACCGAAATTTAGAAAGTCACGTCAAGAAATACATGGAGGATATTATACCGTAAGGAGGTTTATTTTTATTACATATACGATATGAATAAAAGCGAAGCTCTAAAAGTACGACAATAAAATATTTACAATTTTAAATACTAACAAAATTACATATCCAGCAGTGGACTTCAAGAGGCTGATTGAATGGATATATCAAAAATGACATGTTACTTATCTTACAAACGTTGTCAACGTGGCATGATGCTGTACTGCTTTAAGTAAAAAAAAAAGCCAATAAGTCTAGGGCCGTAAAACTTTCAAAAAATTTGATGTTGCTGGCCCCATAGGTCCAAGTTTTCAACAAAGTAAATACATAATCTAAGCGAAGAGACTCATATTTGCGTAAATTACTTGAGCTGGATTTTAGATGAGACGCAGTACAAGTATATTAGCATACCAAATGTGATAAAACTCTCTCCCAAGGTATTAAAGTCAAGCCGTCGGATCTCTTGCAATATGTCGGAAAATCCCACAGGACTATAAATAGAAGGAATGTTTATGGAAACAAGAGCTCCACGGATGAGGTATTCAGGGAACAACGAGTAAAACCGTATTTATCTACATTGAACGGACAAGGATATTGGTGTGGTTGACAAATTGATGCTCCTACACATTCGCCTGAGAGCGCCTGACTGTCCCTACCAAACGCGTAAGCGTTCATCGTCAAGTAAAATTCC